AAATTGGAGAGGTTAATACCAACTACTTTACCTTGAAACAGAAGAGCTAGGCCTTAAGAGCAAGCAAACAGGCAGTACTGGCAGTACATGGCAACATCTTAAGTCAGTGCAATGAATTTATGACCACAGCTGAAAACAGACCTCCATGCACACTCAGCTCAGGAGTCCACATACTCACCTGGCCCTACGCTTATAACACTGCCGTTTCACTCCTCCCCTTTGCACTCCAGTTCTGCAGTTCTCCACTAAAGCAGGTGCACAAGTGAACATAAAGGAGTTCAGGATGGAACGACTTGTGTGCAAAGAAGGATACAGAAGAAATGTGTAGAAGCTGGATGAAAGCCTCTATGGCAAGGAAGTCGCTAGAAAGTGAAACTCTAACTTCTGGTATTGGAGTGCTTAAGTCACACTGAGGAACTCTCCACCTAAAGGCAAATGAACATGGCTTGTACTCAGACCATCCCAGAACAAATTTTGACTCTCTTGCTTTGCCTTTGATGCAGAAAAGCACTTGTGTAAGAGCCAGAGATCACACACACCATCACAGAAGGTAGCAACACATCTGTTCTCAGGTAAGAGAACAGATAAGAGGTTACTTGTTCTCTAGCTCTTCTAGCTCTAGCTCTTCTAGCTCTTCAGCCTAAGTACAAGCAGCAGAGGAGAATTAGAAGAAAGAGGCAGCCAATTCAGTCATATTGCCCAACATACTGGTTCTTGTGGTGAGCCCAGGCGATCTAGCACTGATATCCTCAACAGTTTTGTTGCTGAATGGTAGAGCTTTCTCCAGGTGAGGAGGAAGTGGAAGTGGAAGACAGTGGAAGACAGCACTGGTGTTGAGCACACAACACACAGCTGATGTCCGTTTGTAGCCAACACGCAGAGGCTGCCTGGTGCTCCCCCTCTCACCGTAAAGGGTTGGAAGATGCATCAGGCTGCCTTCTTCATTCTTTCAGGCTCTAGGGAATATGAAGATCCCCTACATGGCAACATGGTTTGAAAGAATTTCTTATGTGACAACACACTGCTTACTCTTCTTTGAGATATTGTTCATTTTCTCCACAAATAAGCTTAAGCCTGATTAAATTAAAATACAATGTGCAATATGAAATCATTTAAATAATACGAACATTTTTTGTCCTGTTGTTTTGGGCAGCRATCTGTATTTCATATGCACAGAGATGGTAGGCAAAAATAATAAGGGAATAAATGCGAGCAGGTATTTTCTCTGGATTACGGGATTTGCCAACAATGAGTCAGACTATAGGTATGTTTGGCAATGCTATGAAAGAGGAAAAACAAAACCAAAGCATTTGATAAAACAGCCCTTTTGGGAGGATTCTCCTCTATGACTGAAATCACTTTTCCCCTCCCCCCCGAGATTAGCACATTATTTATATACATATTATTTAAATCTTTATATACATATTATTTAAATCATATGGTTATATATGCAAGAAACCATGGGAAAAACTAGACAATCCCCACAAGAGCAAGTTCCCAAAGCGGGTGATTCTAACTGGTATCTAACAAATCACAGTAGAGAGAAGGTGGCAGAATTTGTAACATATGTAAGTCAAGAATCCAAATGCTTGAAATTATTTTTCTTTAGAACTTTGCTGCAATCAAATGAAACATATCAAAAAATTTAAATAAGCCATATCCACCCATCCACTCATCCCAAGAAGAAAACCACCCTTATCAGCTAGTGAGTAAAAGAAAGTCTGTACCAAAGATAAAACTTTCATTTTAAAAACAACAGGCTTGGTTTCAGGGTCACAGTCTGCATATTTGGCCAACACCAATTAAGGCAGCCAGCAGTGGTTTTTTTGATATTGGTGACTATAAGCTGGAGATGCAGATCCACTCCTACGGCTGGAGGAGTGGAAAAGCAGCCCTGAAGATGCTAACCTGGCACCACTTTCACGTTATAGTTGTCCAGCTTCAGCAAACAGCGCAGGCCCTGTCAACACCATGTTCAAAACATTTAGCTGGCTGCTGATGGCAGCGAAGAAGTCCTGCAATCTGGAGAATGCAAACACGCCTGCTACATCCAGAAATGTTCAACAGRTCCCTAGAGCAATAAAAGAAGAGCATCTATTCTAGACCTGGAAGTCCATCATCTCCTCTTCAGTCATTCAACAGGCCACCAAACGCGACCAGCAAATCCTTCAGGAGGGCTAAGACCCTGAATGGTTGAGTCAAAGACTTCTGGATGGGATGCTGCAAGCAAGAGACACACTACAARCTCCTATAGTGACATAACAACCTTCCTTTTTTATTCTTTCCTTATAAAATCCAGTAGTCCCTTTTTGATTTCTGGCATGCTTTGGAAGGATATTTTTATATAGCTGACTCCAGTGCTATATATTAAGTGTTATTGCTTTCCTAAGTTAGAGCCTGTCCTGTATATTACATGATACTCATCAACTCTCAGTTTCATTTTTCGTATTATTATTTCTCATTTAGTGCCAGGGAACCTTTTGGAACTCTCCAGCTTGATTTTATTTTCACTGTCCTGAATGCATTATTGCCACCACACTATCACATCTTTCAGGAATATGCTCGATAGCACACCCCCCAAGGGACTTAATTACATAGTAAATATGACCATTGCCTTTCTTCTGCTTTTAATTTGTTCTTCTTTTCTTTCATCATTTTATTATTAATAAAAAAATCCTTCTTTCTCCTACCAGCAAAACACAGTTTCTTTAAGAATCTCTCATGTGTGGCCTTATTAAAAGCTTGTAAAAATGAGGTACCTTATATTAACTRGAGGATTTTGATCTACAAGCTTGTTGGCGCTTTTGAAAGACTTGAAAGATTCTTTTTCCTTTTCCACACCGGGCCATATTTATTAACTAGCGCCAACACTATCGCTCCTGTCAATTTGCCTAGTACTGGCAAGCCCTGATCAGATGTCAGACTTACTGGCCCGTCATTCGCTAGATCCCTCTGGCAGCCCTTTAAAAATACACAGTTTATATAAAAAGAAATGCAGACCGTTTCCTCCGCTCTGGTATAGATGCTGCTTTAAGCAGTGGGGACTCTACCCTGGCTAGTAGTGAGTAATTCACATTAGCGGCCCTGGACTTGTGACTCTTCACTTTTTTCTTCCAAAATCTTTTAACACTTCACTTTGAGACATTTGATGTGATTTATCCCCCAAAAAGCATTCAGATGTATGAATATTGCATGGTGAGAAATTCCTTTAACTTGGTTTGCTCTAACTTTGTCCTCTTCTGGCACAGATCTGGCAGGCTTCTTTCATATTCAGAAAAGACGTTACTAATATTTTCATATCTGTTCTTCCAAACCTTCTAATTAAAGTCTCAAGGATTTCACATCCTGAACCTAATTTGTTACTGTTAACGGTAGAGGTACTTTTGTTTTAAATTTAGATCAATTCTAATCTGCCTGTATTTTGAGGCAGGTATCACTGCTGAGCTTGGTGAGAACCAGAGCCAGGAAGAATACTCTTTCTTGTTCTCCTTGTAGATTGACAGTACTAAAACAAACAAACAAAAATATATATTTATCAACTAGGCTTCATACAACCAGATTTAAAAAACAAAAAGTCACATGACATAATAAAAATACATTCTAAAAATATTTGAAGAATAAATTTACCTCATCACATTCAGCAGCCTGTTGCAGKTTTTTTCCTCAAACAGTCCAATCACTCAAATGTTTAGAGAAACTGAAAAGTTGACCAAATAATTTGAAYATTTGTGGAACTAAATGTTCAATTAATAACTGTAAATAGCCTTTTTTATGTTCAGGACTGAAGGGCTGTGCTTCCTCCAACCTGCATCACAGACAGCAAGTCTGGAGAAAATTTTGATTAAGTTTTAATTAAGAATCGATTAGGCATAGACTACAGCACAAAAAGCATTTGCAGAAGTTACATGGTGGATATATTTTAACACAACTACATTTAAGAACGWTAGAGCTTCTTTCTTTATATTTTACAAACAAGAAAAGAAGCTGTATCTAAGTTATTCACAGCTAAGTTGTAAATGGCTCCTAACACTGCTATCCTTATTTATTTGTTGCTTACCCAACATATAGTATGCGGTGCAAGTTAAATACTTTGATATAAAAAATATTTATGTTCACCGTGGATGATATTGCCGTAGTTCCAACAGGACTTCAGCAATAGCAGTAGTCTGAGCTACATCCATCCCCCGTGACAAATCCAGAAAATTTKAAAATCTGGGCAATACTTGTTGAAAAGCTCATGCCAAAATAAATAAATAAATGAMTAAATAAATAAAAGTTAAAAGGACTAGGACAATCATCCATGCAGCAATCTATCTACCCTGTTCTAATTATGGCCACTGACCCAGCTCAGGGACTGCTCATCRACTGCTTGCGAAATCAGATGGATGTGTGAAATGCTGAGGGATCACAAGCAATGTTTAAGACATTAAGAACTTAACACAGCAATATCTTAATATTTGGTCCCAAGTGTCAAAAAAGGGGTCTTTTAAACATTAAATTTTGGAGAAARAAGAAAGTAGTTGGCCATTTGAATAAGAACCCCAAWGTTTCATACACTTGGAATGACTACTGGAGACACCCMGTGGCTACTGAGTGAAATACGGAGCAGTAATGACGGGAGGAGAAGTTTTTTCTTCTTTTCTTTATAGTTCTGGAAGATACATTACAAGAGTTTAAATGCTGTGCATAGAAAGATGGACACAGGCTCTGAACTTTAAAAGKCTAAAACTTTCTGCTAATCAGCTGAAATTCTTTTCAACAAATCTTTTCCGAGAACAAAAGGAGAGGTGAGAAGCACATCAAAGTGGTTAATACACATAATTCTCAAATTCTTAAAATRCATGCAAARAAATGGAAATATTAAAAATGCATTTCTTCTCCAATCCCTGCAACACTTGTTGGTGCTTTGAAGCAAGTCGGTAACAGGACTCCCACAGGGAAGCGTGATCATCGTGCASATAGGCACTCTTTTAGGGGCGAATAACATAGCTGCCGCAGGTATGGGCCGCCCTCAAGATCACAGGAAAGCCGTCGCTTCCTCAGGACTGGCAGTTCCCCATATTCTCCGTGAGTCACTGCGGGCGAGGGGACCGGAGGCTCAGATCAGAGGGCGCAGCGTGACTTGACCTTTCGCTGGCAGGAGGCTCTTCRGGGCCCCATGAACTTTCCTCTGAGCTTGGGCCGCTGCCAAGTGGCCACACGCGTTATTTTTGCGCCCACGATAAGTAGCTCGCTTGGGTCGGGAGCGCAGGTAGCAGCATGAAGGCAGGGAAGGCTCCACCTCCCCCAAGCCCAACGAGCGAGCAGAAGCATCGGAGATTTTGTTTTTGAGGCCACGACGCTTGGGGCTTTGAAGCCCAAGAGCAGTTTCATTTCGTCCGGCAAACGTGAAAGAGTTTAGTGTAACACAGTAAGTTCTTAGAGCGCTGCCTGGTAATGCTGCTCTAAATAGCCTGCAATCCTACTGGCTGGAGCGGAGAATTATTCCTTCCAGGTGCAGCCCGTATAAAAACCTCTGGCGGGTGCATCCTGCGGCAGGGAATGCCCAGCGGCCCCTGCCACAACAGGTAACTGCTGCACGAGCGCTGCACTAACCCAGCCTGTTAGCACTAACCACGGAGACCCAGCTCCTACCACGTGCATGATCCTGAGGGCACGGGGGCTGCCTCACCGTGTTGTTCATAGGATTCTGGTTCACAGGAGCTGGTTTGCTCCGTCGTGCCTCGTGTCTGCGGCCGTGCGGTGCAGTCCGAAMGCGGCAGCACGGGAACGTGCATCACTAAGGCAGGCACTAACAGACTTGAATCACCAAAGACTAGGTTTAGTCCTAGACTGCGCAGCTAGAAAGAAACATTTGTTTTTACATCAGTTTATGAAATATCTTAGTAATATTTACAGTAGCTGACTTGCTTCTTTTATAGTTTTGAAGAAGCCTGGTGTGCTACTGATGTACAAGTCGAGAATGAAAACATTATCTTTACCGTCCCATCTAACTCAGGCAACTGACGGATACAAGGATCATGTCAGTCTCCTCCAAGCATCAGTGCAGCCAATGCAGTTGTTTTCTAGACCTCCTGAAAATTTCAAAAGGGTTTTAATAAAAATTGACTGTTCTTATGGACAAAAAAAGGAAAAAAYAAGAGAAAGCATTAAAATTTATTTTGAAAAATGTAACATGGCTAATTTAAACTATATATCAACCTCTACTGAGTGAACAATAACAGTTTATCTCATAATTGGAACAGCAATTATATTAGGTATTTTGCTGACAATAGAAAATTATTTACAAGTCCTTAACACTGCTTAACAAATTTATATTTATTAAAGGTGTTTCTAAGATATTTTGTGGTGTTTGCTGCTACATGTAGCCAACTGAAATTTTGACCAGCTGCAGTGATAACTAATTTAAGCATGAAAGAAAGACAGGATCACTCATCATCTTAACAAGGTTAATAAGTTTATAATTAAACAAGCCTTTCAAGTTTCTACTGTGCTGTAGGAGTATCAGATAATGGGAAGTTTCAAGGTGCTTTTTTTTAAGATTATGCTTTCATTTAAATAGCAGATGTCATCCTACAAGAGCCTTATTGCCACAGTAAAAAAAGTCTTAGAAGAAGTAGTACTTTGAATAAACATAAAACTTTCTGCAGACTGAGTCCTCAAGTATTTTTTCTTTCCCTCTGGCTGTAACAATCACTATTTCTTGCAGTTTCTTCTCTTCTGATTACGCACCTTGTCAAAAACAAACAAAAGTTAATATCTTTTCCCACAGATTTCCTAAACCATTAAAATGAGGGCAGGCTTCAGTTCTAGCTTTAGGCATGGAGGAGCAGCACCACTGCAAAGCAGTCAGAGCGTATTTTTGAGAGATTACACAGAAACCACATTTGCTTGTTTGCTTTTAAGAAGGCAGGACTCTTCACAAGCAGAAGAAAAGGGGACGAGAAGAGAAGAGAAGAGAAGAGAAGAGAAGAGAAGAGAAGAGAAGAGAAGAGAAGAGAAGAGAAGAGAAGAGAAGAGAAGAGAAGAGAAGAGAANAGAGAAGAGAAGAGAAGAGAAGAGAAGAGAAGAGAAGAGAAGAGAAGAGAAGAGAAGAGAAGAGAAGAGAAGAGAAGAGAAGAGAAGAGAAGAGAGCATTCATTCATGTGCCAGGAAACACTGTAGAGGTGATGCTACATTAGTCTCTATTTTCATCATTCATTGAATACTATGCCAAGTGTAATAGCTAGAGGAAGGTCCTCTGAGGGGGGAAAAAATGCGGAGATTAGTTTACTTTAAGGCTTTACTTTAACAGAGACAGTGCAAAGCCACGGTGCCATATTCATGAAGGAGCGTGGGGCTGCCCAACCCGCTTTGCCCGGCCCAGCCCTTGCCAACAAACAGGCCAGCACCAAGGAATGTATCAGGTATCAGTGAAACGGCGGCAGGGTCGGTGTCGTGTGTGCACATAAATCACCCGCACAAGTCAGCAGTCACTAAGCTCCTTAAAAAACTACCTCCAGGCACCGCTTCAGCTGCGGGGCTGCGCCAACGCGCTGCCCCTCGCCGTGGGGCGGCTGGAGCGGCCGACGTGTGCAGCTCTATCCGCAGGGCAGGCAATGTGGAGCCAGCGGATCACTGTGGCCGGAAAAGACCTTCGAGATCACCTGGTCCAACCAGGTCCAACCATAAACCCATCAGTGCTGCCRATCCGAGTGCCCGAGCACCGCAGCTCCGCAGGCCGCTCCGCTGGGAGCTTTGGCCGGGGCCTCTGCGCCCAAGGGCCTGGAGGGCAACAGCGGGACAAGGAAAACACCGAGGCAACGGCCAGGCTGTGGAAAYGCCGGCTGCAGACGGGGAGCACTACCGCCGGAGAGCCGAGGCACAAGGCCCTCTTGGAAAAACAGTTGTGTGGACGGACACAAACAGAACAAACATACAAACAGAGTTTTCAGTGGGTATTTCAGTCTTGTGAGAGTCTTCAGATTGATTTAGTGATACCGGAGTAAGTTTGTATTGTCCACATAATGGATGGAATGCAGCTGTACAATTAGAACTGTAAATAAACTAGAAAGAAGTTGCAATCAGGAGGCTACCTCCTATGATAATTTCCTATTCTTTCAAGCTATCAGTTTACAAAGAGAAAAAAAATTATCACTCTTTCCCTCCTTATAATCACACCTTACACAAATCAACTGTATTTAAGTGCTTACAAAATTCATTTTTTTCCCTTCCATTCCAGCGCTCTCGCTATGATCTCCACACAGCAGTCACCCTTCTCCAACAAAACTGAAGGAGCAGCAGACTGCCAAACGGAGGAAGAAGAAACCTGTGAAGACCAATATGACTCTGAAAACCGCACTCGGGGCTCTGAACATGAATCGTCAACAGCAGAATCCAACTCAGGTTTAATCCAATTTAAATATTGCAATTGCTACATCATGCTATATTTCATACTTACTGTTTATCAGTTTTAAATTTTTCTGATGGCGAAATCTATTTTTCCGTAACTTACGAATAATCATTTGCAAACCCTTCTTCTTAGGCACCAAATTCAAAATACAGAGAGATTTTCCAGTATCAAATGGGAAACCCAAAATTTCCGTTGGGATTAAGCTTCCCACAAGTGAGAACTATTGCACACCTGTGTTATACCAGAGCATAGTATAGCTCATGGCATATCCTAAAACAAGACAGTTCAAGTCTGAAAGACTTCTTAGCAGACAGAGCTATAGACTTGAATGGGTAGATCCTTCCACAGGGCTTAATTCCAGCTGCAGATTGTCCATGGAAAGGTTCAGCAGGTCAGGATAGGACCACAGCTGCTTTGACTCCCCCTATATCACACTGTCCACCTTGAACAGCAACTCATGTTGAGGGCAGCAATCCAACGAGCTTCTCCAGTGACCCTTTGTGTATGCTCTATTGTGGATTATATAGGTGTATGTGTTTTTTTTGTGAATTACACAGGAACATTTATTTATTTTAAACAAGTCACATAAAATTCATGCATTTATGCATATAAAACTAATTCCATCTTTTCTCCCACAGATTCACCAGTGACTCTTAAAATACTACAGAACTGGGTTCCCMAAATTTCCCACTACTTTGACAAGGAACACTACACTTATGTGGGRCACCAGATCGTCATTCAAGAATCAATAGAGCACTTTGGAGCTGTGGTGTGGCCGGGTGTAAGTACTGGATAAAACTGCATGCTTTACATGTTATAGAAGCATAAATCCCGACTACAGTGTACAAGTATTTAAATTTTTTTTTTTAGACAATGCTCCTGACAGAGTTTTCCCTAAGCAGAAAGAAATGTGAAGTACTTTGGCAGAAAGCTCTGACTGATGCTCATTTGTTCATGTGCAAGAAGTCTAGGATTTTATARCGAGCAAAATATAAACTCTTTTTAAAATCATATGCCCCTTTCCACTTAAAGACCTGAAACCCCTCTCTCCCCGCAAAACTCCTCTCTCTCCCTGAAACCTTGCTAGTTGTTGAATGTGTAAATTGAAGTAAAAAAATATTAAGAAAGTTCAGGAAGTGTCCAGCTTATTTTGTGTCCAATCAATGGTCTTACATATTTTGCCATGTAAAAACATAGATGAGACTGTGCACACCCCACAACAAATCTTAGGTATTAATACCTACAGAAAGTTTTCTTTTATGGCTTGATTCCGTAGTTTGTATAGAGTTTCTATATGAAAGGGACAGAATAATATAAGGACAGTTGTGTTACCCTAGATGATCCATAAGCAGCTTGTTAGTGGATAAATCTTGCTAAATGTCCAATCCACCCCCTCAAAACAAACAAACAAAAAAAAACACCCCACCATTTCCATAGCTGAAGATAACCTAAGGAAGGATTTTGACCAGCCTTCTGATCTGAACATTCAAGCTAAGACTTGGGGTCTTTTTATGTAAGATGGACTCTTTGGAACAGGCAATTCAGTACTGGGGATTTAGATGTCTGAGATTGGACAGAAGACTACAAAAAGAAAACACAGGCTCCCCTGTATAAACATATTATCTATTTTAAAGTCTTTACATGGAAAGCTGTACTTGCAAAGAGGTCTTGTCCAGTCCTTGCTTCTACTTTTAAGAAGAGTTTTCTGTGAACTCAAAAAACACCTTTGAGCAAAGAGAAGCTCAATTATAGAAGATATAAAAACTACCATTTCGTATTTAAGATTCAGACCATTTACACCAGCATTTCAGACTTTGCAGATCCAGAATATTTACTGGAAAAAGTCACAGAATTTTCTTTTGAAATAGTCTGCAATTAAGAAAGAAAACGTGTACGAGTGCTGAAACAGTATTTTCCTTTGAAGTGTCAGATCATCACTTCTCAAACTAATCAGGTGCCAGAATGCAGATAGTAAACATTTCCAAGAAAACCTAGAGGGAGCACAATTGGGCTGGTGATTCATGAGTTGTCAGCTTTCTGAGAGCAGGTGCTCGGTGCAAAGCCCAAGAGTTAAAGCAGTAACAGCACTTGAGAAGCAAAAACAGGAATTTAATTTCTCCAGTGTTTGTTTCTATTGTTTATAAACAGCTAATTTATGTTCTACTGATAAGATCTTTATAAAGAGCTTGTAAGAACTTCTCCTGTTCCCTTAACATTGTGGTAAAAAAAGCATGAAGTGAGCTCTATTATTGACAGACAAGCGTTGAGTACCTTAATATCTCATTAAATAGCAATTTAACATTTTCTGCTTAAATATATTAAGATCCCCTGCCAAAATCAGTTTTCAAAAAGTCTCTGCTGAACTGTGAACCTAATAATAAAACTAATAAAACAAATAATAAGTAATAGGTTTAATGCAAAAAGCAGTGTTAAGACCTAACTCGCTGTGTTGACTGTGTGCATACCTGAACAGTTTATCAGAGGAATCAAGAAGTACATAGAAAAGTGTAGCAAATCCACATTCCACCAACCTAGAAAATAAACAATTTAAAAACAACAACAAAAAAAATTTTGCCCCCTCCCCAAAGGGAATTTTTCTTCCCACCTGCTACTTACATGTTACAGCCCTCATTGTTTTTCACTGTATATATAAACACACATAAAACACATACATGCAGTTTTATGCAACTTACCCAATTGAAACCTTTTGGGGTGTGTGTTAACGTTTCAGGCATTGGCTTTATCTCAGTATCTGGAGTCAAATCAAGACCGATTCAACCTCAAAGACAAAAAGGTTTTGGAAATCGGTGCTGGAACAGGCTTGGTTTCTATTGTGGCCTGCATCTTGGGTTAGTAAATTCCAATTCCTTTTGATTTTTTTTTTTTGTGATAAGTGACCTAGATCTGCTAATATCCTTTTAAGACAATGAAGGAACAGTTCTAACTAAGGCTTGGTTTGCCTTTTATTTTAAAGTAACTCTCATTTATTTTAAAGTAACTGCCCTTATTAAGTTGGGGGGAGAGAAGTAGCAGGATATATTTGTGTATATTCCTATGTCTATACACACCTATGAATTAAAACAAGTTAATTTCTTCTTCAGGTGCTTATGTTACAGCTACTGATTTGCCTGAAGTTCTTGAAAACCTCTCCTTCAATATTTCAAAAAACACAAAASATGCAAATACGCACAAGCCTGAAGTGAGAAAACTGGTGTGGGGAGAGGGCCTGAGCGAAGACTTCCCCCTCTCGAGGTGCCGATACGATTTCATCCTGGCAAGCGATGTCGTCTACCACCACGCAGCCCTGGACGCCCTGCTAGCAACGATGGCCTATTTTTGTCAGCCAGGAACAGTCTTATTATGGGCCAACAAGTTCAGGTTCAGTACAGACTACGAGTTCTTGGAAAAAGTTTGCAATATTTTCGACACCACCATTCTAGCGGAATTTCCAGAATCAAACGTCAAGTTGCTTAAAGCCACAATGAGAAAGAATTGAAGCAAAAATAACTACTAATTTTAGTTTACTGGCAGCGTCATGCAGCTCAATGTTTTAGAGCATTTTAATGCAATTATAGTGCATTTATGGCTGTACAGTTTTATGTTTTCCACCAAAATATGAAAAAAGACACATGATGTATTAATGTCTTCAGTTCATGCATGTAATCTGTTCAAACAGACCCGTTTCACACCACTGAAGGGACAATGTTAGTAGGGACAGTTAGTGGCAAGACATTATCAGAAAGCACCGGATCTTCTCCTATTTGTAAAGCATTTTCTTTCAACAGGTGTCACTTATGGACTCTTGGAGAAACCAAGACAATTTTCAGCTTTATTATTTGTTTTTATTAATTATAAAATTTTTTAACGTATCAGAGTGCACATGGTGTTTTTCGGTCTTCAGTTCTGCACATTTATTCCATTGTGTTTTACATTTTAAACATTATTAAACATATATGTATAGCTTTACAATACCTGATTAGGATTTAACTGTCTGGCACTTTTATACACGTATCAGCCTGTCCTGATACACAACTTCACACAGATTTGAGTTTGCCTGAAATCACTCCAAAATGAAGATATATAAGAGCACCTATACATCAGCAATTGAGTTACACATTGTGACCATTGGAGAGGTTGAATTTTTCTTAAAAAACAAAACAAAAAAACAAAAATAAAACAAAACAAAACCTGTTGCAAACAATTCAGGTAATGATGTCCCATTACTGCAGTCTAATAAATAAGATTTTAGCTACGTTTGATGTAGCTTTAAGGCCTTCATACAATTGAAAATGAAATTAAGATTAAACATGTTAAAATTGTTTACTGTAAAAAATACAGAGCTTTTACAGGTTTACAGTTAAAATTAACAGTTAAGAACCTAACTTGCATGCAATAAGCCTTCTCAGCCCAATTTCAAATCCTTGGTGTTGGCAGTTCTGGCACATCCATTGCCAGCAATGGGATGCACACTAAGGAAATTCCCTGGTGTCAGGAGTTTGGTTAACAGGTATCAAGCTGTACCCAGGTGCCTTTACTGATAAATACACACAATTTAATCGTCAGCATTCAGTAATGAAAACATGCGTTCCAATAAAAAGTCAAACTTAGCTTTTCATATCCTGCCCATATAAAATCACTTTAAAGTTTACAAGTGTAGGTTTTTTAGAACACACAATAGTCTGGTGGATACATGACAGGAAGCCAGTTTTCAGTGAAAGTTGCACAGTGAGTCCATCCGAGTAACTTCATGAGCTGAGGAAAAAGCAACCATCAAATACATTAGAAGCTCTCTTGGAATCTTCTTCTCTTAATCCAAAGCCTCTTAATGAACACCATATTGATATCAACGTCTTAAAGAAAACTATCATCAGAAAGACAATAGACTGGAGAGCTTTGATATGCCTAATCCTGAAAGGAAAACAGTAGGGTCCTACCTAATCTCCACTCTTTCAATTTGATGCACAAAAGTTTTACTGTAGGATCACGCTAAATGATAACGTCCTAGGTGTGGAGAAACAACTCTCCACACACCATATGCTACTGACAATATTTGTAACTAATACTAATAGCAATTACAGTTGAACAGCAACATAAATATCATTCTAAATAGACAAAAGATTGAGTTGTCACGCTTGCTATGTCCAACAGCAAGTTCCAAAGTCTAATTTTCTTCCAAGTGACAGTTACTCACAAAGTAGCTAGAAAGAGAAAGGCTTCACTACTGAAAAATGGAAGGCAAACCCTAAAAGCCTCTATGTTACACTTGTTAGGATGCTTAGAGAGTTCTGCAATTTAAATGGTATCAAAAATCCCCAAAGGCTTATAGCCCTTATTTTCAAAAGGTTGTCTTTTAGCATGAACACAGTCTCTCTCTCTCAAACAAGTGAACGTTACCTGAATGCAGTTTTTCAAGTTGTCCTTTGTTGGCTTCTCCTCGGCAAGTTTTGTTGCGAACTTGAGGCCTCTCCCATACATTTTGTTTACCAATGCATGCTTATAGGCAAAAGTCAAAACCTACAGCAGGGCACAAAGAAGGACAAATCAGACTTTAAAATATTTGAATATTACAAAGCTTAACAAGTAACAAAATCTCTTCAGGTATCAGAAGTAATTTAAACMAAGTAAAACATTTACACAAGTTGCTTGCAGTTTTTTTTTTTTTGTAGTAAAACAGCTGAATCACAGCAGCAGCTCTAAACATGAACATCCTAGAGCCTATTTCTGACTTCAGAACATCCCACATAGCRGACACAACCCCAATTCAAATATTGCATTAATCACATTTCTAGCTTCCTTGAATTTTTATTCTCTAGAAGCTACTGTTTGGTATACCCTAAATAAATGAGAAACTAGGCAGTTATATCTTTGGCTCACAAAATTAGAGAGCTGATTGTAAGGTTCGAGTCCCAAGAAACCACAAACTTATTGCAGAGATGAACGTGAAAATATACAGTGAATGATTTTATATATATTATAAAATATATAAAATACACACACAGAGATACACACATTAGTATAAAAAAGCAATGGAGACAGTTAAGCATGAAGACAAGCCTCACGTTTGGTCACCTTCTTAGTCCTGATAATTCATTGAGAACAAGTTGTTAAAAAAGCATCCTCTTGATGATATTACAAACAGACACCATATAGGTCAGTGTTATAACTAGCAAAGGTGAATGTGTCTACATTTGTATGTAATTTTTGTATGTGATAAGTGATAATACAAAACAAATGAAGACTGCCAGTGTTCAAGGTATTATGAGATAGTTCAGGGCTTTTAACTGGCCAAGCAGCRTAAGTATCAGCACTCAAAGTTTCATAGCCTTTGCACAATCACAAAAAAATGATTGATGCTTGTCAATGAAGATAATGGAATACAACAAAAACGCTCTCGATGGCCAAGCTTTTATGGAATCTGGCATTAGTTTGTTATTTATTTCCCTCTCAGTACAGTGTTTTTCCTTCCAACCCCTCCTATAAAAGTTAACAAAAGTCTTCAGCAACACTCACTTAGGACACTCCACTGGTCAAAGCCAACAAAAAACATTCTAAGGATGATCAGAAATAAGTATTTTGCATTAATTGTAAGCATTTTGTAAAACAACCTAAACATTAAGAAATCTAAGATGCTGATACTGCAGACTGAAAAACCTGCCTAGCTTTAGCTACCCGAGTATTTTGCAGGATCACAACTTGAGACTGAGCTAAAAAACCATTCCTCCCCCACCCATTTACTCCTAAKAAAAATAAAGATGTAATTTACAATCTCTGAAATACAATGCAATCACTCAGTCCATTCTCCTCCTGTCTTCAAGTACTTACGTTGTCCCATTGAAATATTTAGTTAAGCTGCTATAGTTTGCGAATATGGAATTTTACTYGTTTAAGCACACACACATATATGCAACGACAAGCATAGAGCACCATCCACATACAGATTTTCCAAATATTACTATTGGGAAAAACATTCTGCATGCTGCACTCAATCCAAATATTTTGGATATTCTCTGAGAGAGGAAAAYGAACAAAAGAACAACACAAAACCATTAGCAAACACTGCTGAGCAACGGCTCCATGGATCCATTAGCAGATTTAGTTGGTTAAACTAAATTTAAAATGATCCCTTCTGTAGAAGATGACAGAATCACAAAAACAAAACAAAAATCAGATGAAAGATGTACTGGAGCTCTCGGCATATACAGGATACRGGAGGCTAACCAGAAGTAATGCCACTGCTCTATAAAGAAAGCTCTTACCTGGCCCTGCAAGTTTTGAATGGCTACTGAACATCAGTGACAAATGCAGCAGGAAGCCACTTGGCACCAAGTCTTTCGTAACAGGGCTCCCTAGAGTTTTTGTAGCAAGAAAACAAAGCATTTTACAAAACACCCTGACTCYGGCTAAGTAAAAATCTGGGTATTTCTAAAAGAGGAAAAAAAAAAATCTGCTAAAGAGGTTGATTCAATGTTCCAAGAGTTCACAATAATATATGATAACTTCTGTTTTAGTGTTGGAAAAACTATCAGCTGTATACACATAAAGTAAAACTACTAGAAGTTCATTAGCTCATTAACTATTATTAGTTCATTAACTACTAAAAAGTTTAAGCTAAGTTYACAAGTTCACAGTTTAGTTCATTAAAAGTTTAGTTCACAGAACTAATGAATGAGATACTTTAAGAGCAGAACAGGTTTACAAGCAAAAAAGGATTTAGATGACATGATACTTTAACTTCAGCACATATTAGTACAGTTCAGCCTTATAATTAAACATTACAAACTTTACAACATCACTGAAGATGATGACTCCTTGATACTTGTGAACAAGAAGCGATCTGGAGTTCTACTAAGATGCAACAGAAACAGCTGCTATTCCCATTACTTAACAAAAGCAGATAATCTGTGTTATCTAGAAACAGTTGATAGATGAAAGAATTAACATCCATGAACATACATTCTATGTTCATGATAATAGTTCCTATTATCTAGGAACTTATTTAGGAGATAGTCTCCTAAAGGAACAGCAATATGGACTGTAAGTTGGCCAAAGCTGTGTAAGTAAAAGGTAATAATGAAAAAACAAAGCTTCTTTCTAGGACACCAGGTAAGTGCCRTTAGAAGGTGAATTTCCCAAACTAAAGACCTGTAGAAATACCAAAGCCAGACAGCTTTCCTAGGATATMCAGTTGCTGCTCAGCCACTTGCCACTGATGACACCGTTAACTCAGGTGTCTACATTATGATAAAGTACCTAAAATATTTTAATTCTGCAGACATTTCAAAGCCTGAAAACACTTTAAACCTCATTTACCCAGCAACACTACTCCAACAGATCCAACAGAACATTTCCAGTATTCTAGTCAAGAGGATCCCTACATAAAGGAAAACTAACTTGTATAGTCAGTTACCTCATGATAYGAACAGCTGCTTAAAATGTATCCTTATTTACAGATGATTAAAATCATAGGTTATATTGTGTAATTTGTAAGTTAAATTC